ATGAGGCTGCTGGCTGCCCTTTCCTCGAGAGACCGACAATCGAGCCAAAAGTGATGGTACGCATGCAGGTATTTTTAACAGTCAACATGTATCCTCAAACGATAACACCTGTAGGATCTCCCTGTGCAAAAAAAAAAATAATAATAATAATAAAATAAATAAATAGATGAAAAATAAATGAATAAACATAAATAAATGAAAAATAAATAAATAAGAATAAATAAATATTCCGTTCAAACAAGAACGAAAAATGAAGAAAACAACAGCAATAGGCATGCTCATTCATAAATACGAGAAAGAAAGGCACAGATTATTGACTCAGTTCAAGATGTCACAGACGAGGAAACCGCCTACGAGTGATAAATAAACGAGGGGGTTGTGTTGCCTTCTGATTGTACCTTTCCCTTCGTCAGCTCGGTTTCATGGTCACTGCGGCGAGATGGGGAGGCAGTGCAGTACTCTCCCCGCCCCTCCCTCCACTCTCCCTCTCTCTCTCTCTTCTCTGACAGTGTGTCTTTACTCTCTCTCTCTCTCTTTCCCTCTCTCTCTCTCTCTCTCTCTCTCTCTCTCCTCTCTCTCTCTCTCTCTTCTCTCTCTCTCTCTCTCTCTCTCTCTCTCTCTCTCTCTCTCTCTCTCTCTCTCTCTCTCTCTTTCTCTCTCTCTCTCTCTCTCTCTCTCTCTCTCTCTCTCTCTCTCTCTCTCTCTCTCTCTCTCTCTCTCTCTCTCTCTCTCTCCCTCCCTCCCTTCTCCCTACCTCCTTTCTCCCCCCCCCCCCCTCTTTCCTCCTTCTCCCTCCCTTCTCCCTCCCTCCCCTCCCCTCCTCCTCCCTCTCTCTCCCTCTTTTCTCCCTCCTTTCTCCCTCCTTTCTCCCTCCCTAACTCCCTCCCTTCTCTCCCTCCTTCCTCTCTCCCTCCCCATCTCTATCTCTGTATATGAGGTAAAGATACAAATTATTTTCGTCCAGCCGTCAATCGGACGCGATCGGACACTTTTGAAGTATGGGTTGATAAGAAAGAGGTGGAGCAGGTGAACGGAGAAAGCGAAGCAACACCGATAACAACGATGGCAATGGTAGTAGTAACGAAACAATTAGAACAGCGACAACAGAACAATATGATGTCGATCCGAATAAAAGGAGCACAAAGGAAACGCGGTTGGGATGTACCAGGGAGGATAAGGAGAGGAGAGGGAAGGCTCAGGACGCAGCGAGGGTCCGGAGGCTTCGAGGAAGAGCTTAGCGGGAAACGACTCGGAGTTCGCTCTCAGAATGGAGGCCTGGGGGTGCGCGGCGTGCCAGGGACGGGAAGGGAAGCGAAGGAGCTGTATGAAGGTGAGAAGAGCATAGAGAGAGAGAGAGAGAGGGAGAGAGAGAGAGAGAGAGAGAGAGAAGAGAGAGAGAGAGAGAGAGAGAGAGAGAGAGAGAGAGAGAGAGAGAGAGAGAGAGAGAGAGAGAGAGAAAAGAAAGAGAGAGAGAGAGAGAGAGAGAGAGAAAAGAAAGAAGAGAGAGAGAGAAAGAAAGCAGGCGTGAAAGAAAACTCCTAAAGATGTAAGCTAAACAAAGGAACAAAAATGCAAGCTCCAGGGATGTAATAAAGATGCTGGAAGAAGAGGAGGAGAAACCCTTATTAAAGAAGAAGGGGAAGGGAGACAAGACGCGAGAACGAGTGTCTCTCAGGTGTCTTGACGAAGGCAGGGGAAGGCGAGGCGCGACTGCCAAAGGACTGCCACACGAATGGAAAGACAGCGGACGAAGAACCGTTTTGCCGGGAGTAGAAAAGACAATTAGTATAAGCGCCGTGGCTGTGATGCGGACGCCGATACTAATTAATTACGTTTCGGAGTAATTCTATGTCGGGGCGCTATTTGTATGTTGGGTATAATCCGATGACAGTTTTTTGCTGACTGGCGAATCCTATTTGACATTTGATTGAATGCGGGAGAATATTTACAGATCCGATTGCCCCCTCCCCCCTCCCCCTCTCTCTCTCTCTCTCCTCTCTCTCTCTCTCTCTCTCTCTCTCTCTCTCTCTCTCTCTCTCTCTCTCTCTCTCTCTCTCTCTCTCTCTCTCTCTCTCTCTCTCTCTCTCTCTCTCTCTCTCTCTCTCTCTCCTCTCTCCTCCTCTCTCCCTCCCTCTCTCGCTCTCTCACTCTGTGTGTCTCTATATTTCTCTCCCCCATTTTTACTCTCAAATTCAAATTAGTCCACCAGTTAGCCAAATCATCTGTCAATCAGCGCACATGCATGCATTTATGTTTGTGCCAGTTAACCCTGCCTATCCGTATCACTCTGTGCGCTCCTATTCAAGCTATATGTAAACAGTTTATCATTAACTCTGACAAATATTAGTCCAAATCCTAGAAACGAAAATTAGTAATGATAATAGATCAATAAAAAGTCAAAAGGTATATTTTGTACAGAGGTGAATATAGTAGAGAGGTGAATTATTAAGTATAAAATAATATATTCGAAAAACAAACGTGCTGTGTAATAAACCTGTACACAGTGGAGTAAAACAAACTACACAATATGTACCCAGAGGGAGTGTGCAATATACATATCAGGGTTTTATGAAATGTATAAAATAACTGAAGAAACTGCAGTCAAATATACGATTTTAAAATACATGAGATGAGAATTCAGATCATAAAAATTGAGCAAATGCAATGTAAGTAATTATTTCTGTTCTTTGGAAAAAGTTGGGAATCACAATAGGAAAATAGAGGTGATTTTCCCCTCTCTATAAGGGGAAAACGCCTTTTTCGCAGACTCATTGACAATGGCAGAAAATTCTATAGGCGCTTTCCACTTATACATTTTATGATTGTATAAGCCGTGAGGCATTCCATTATATCTGCTCTTTAATTCAATTACTTTCTAACATGTACTTTTTATATATTTCTGTTCAGAATTATATTTATGCTTTATTTGGTCTCATTATGGGTATCAAAAGGCAAAGAAAAGTGGCTCTTTTATCATGTGATAATGAAGTGTTTCATACCATAAGCAGCTTTCGGAAGTTTCCAGGAAAAAATGAAAAACATATAGTTTTTATCACCATGGTCTTCGACAATGGTGCTACAGGTCTACATAATTTACTCATATTCTTCTCTCTTTTCCTGCCTCATTCCTATCTCTCCGTCTCATTATACCATTCGCTCTCCATCCCTCTTATTTCCCCTTCTTCCTTCGCATTTTCCTTGCTTCTCATTTTCCGTCCTTTCGTCTCATTTCCCCTCTTTCCCCGTCAATTTACCTCCTTTCCTCTCAATTTTTCTCATCCCCTTCTCTATTTCCTCCTAATTCTCACTCCTTGCCTCTCCTTCCTGTTCATTTTCTCTCCTCCCCTCTCATTTCCCCTCGGTTTCCCTCCTTCCCTCTCATTCCCCATCGTTCTCCCTCCTTCTCTCTCGTTCCCTCTCCTTCCCTCACCATCCCCCTCTTTCCCTCTCATTCTTTCTCATTCTTCCATCTTTCCTCTCATTTCCCCTCGTTCTTCCTCCTTCTCTCTTATTCTCCCATCTTCCCTCTCGCCCCCTTCCTTCTCAGTCCTACCACCTTCCCTCTCCTTCCACCCCGTTCTCCCTCCTTCTCTCTCATTCCCTCTCGTTCTCCCACCTTCCCCCTTCTTCCCTCTCATGCCCTCCTTCTCTCCCTCCTTCCCTTCCTCCTCTCATTCCATGGGTCTTCTTCCCTCCCTCTCACCCCCCCCTCCTTCCCTCTCATTTTCCCTCACACCATCATCATCATCAGGTTTATCCTTCGCCGTAATTTTTGTCCCTGCTTTATTAACAGAAAGGGGAGAGAGAAAAAAGGACAGTGATACCATTCCTACCGTAAAGCTGGGTCACCGCATTATAGCCTCATTATATCACCTCTAGCGACGTGAGGTGGGAGATTATGGCCCTTATTACCCCTACCACCCGCCCTATTGCCCTTATTCCCCACCCCCCACTCCCCCTACCCGGATTTCCCCCCTACACCCCTCCACCCGTCCCGGGAACTGGGTGGAGGACGGGAGGTTTGACCTTGTGAAGGGGTGGGGATGAGGAGGGAAGGGGGGTTCGGTGGGCGATGGGAGGGGGGGTTATATAAGAGGGCAAAGGGGAATGTATTTAGGGAGAAGGAGGCGGGGATGTGATTACTTGGGGAGGGGAGGGGAGTGGATAGGCGGTGAGGGGGTAAGATTGTGTGTGGTGTATCTATGTGTGTGTATATGTGTGTGGGTGTGGGTGGGTGTTTGGGTGTGTACGTGTGCGACTCTATGTAATTCATATATTTGTCTGATAGCGATGGCATCAGATTCTGATATTGAAAGATCTTGCATATTATCAGAAATCAATCTCGCTCTCTTCTCTCTCTCTCTCTCTCTCTCTCTCTCTCTCTCTCTCTCCTCTCTCTCTCTCTCTCTCTCTCTCTCTCTCTCCTCTCTCCTCTCTCTCCTCTCTCTCTCTCTCTCTCTCCTCTTCCTCTCCCTCTCTCCTCTCCTCTCCTCTCCCTCTCCCTCTCCCTCTCCCTCTCCCTCTCCCTCTCCTTCTCCTCTCCCTCTCCCTCTCCCTCTCCTCTCCGTCTCCCTCTCCCTCTCCCTCTCTCACTCCTTCTCCCACCTTCCTTGCCACCATCTCTCAGTCTCACTCTTTCTTGCTATCATTTTCCCATTCTTTCTCTCTTAAGAACGTCAACAACAGGAACAATGCGCTGATCCTAGAAATGATAAAAATAATTCCATTATCTTAGCTCTTTTAGAACAATGAGTGACACCATTTTTTTATCTGGTATTCATTCGTATTAAGTTGAAAGGAAATGGAGGCTTGTATATGAATTTCAAAATTGGATGTTATTGTTTGATAGATATGATTAATTTATGATCTTTATTGGGAAAAGACTCGCTTTTTAACATATTTATTTATCTATGTTGTTATGCAGTTTCCGAACTTTGACGTCGAGCCAAGTATTTTCTTCTTTGTTGTTTTATATTAATGGTATGTTGCAACTCTTCCAGGTGTGAATACCCAGATGATGAAATAAGGACGAAGTTTGATACTAAATTCAACGTAGCACCGCCCTTACAAGGTAGCGTACAAGGTCTTTTCTTTTACATATACCTTTTTAGTTCTCAAACATTTGATTAGTAGTATGGAAGATCTTCTTTTTCAAAATTAATTCCTAGCATTACTTATTTTCGTTTTTTTTTTCTCTTCTTCGTTTCCCAGCTCCCTCTTTCGATCTCACTCTCTTTGATTCTCTTTTTATCTCCTTTCTCTGTTGTTCCATTCAGATTTTGATATTTTTCTTTTATCTTCATTTCTTTTGTGCCTTTCTTCCTCTGTGCCTCCTCCCCCTACCCCCCTCGCTACATTTCCTGCTCTCTTTGTCTTTTCTCTCTCACTCCTAATTACCCTCTCCTATTTATTCTTTCTCCCTTTCCTTCTGTTCCCCCAGCCCCTCCCTCTCTCTCTCTCTCCCTCACCTCTCCTCTTTTCTGATCTCACTTCTTGTGCTTCACGCTGTGCTATGTGTCCCTCGCCCTCGCCCTCGCCCCTATTAACAAGCATATAAAGTCCAGTTTCCAGTCAGCGGGCGCCGGCGGGATGTTAATGGCAAAAATAAGAAAGGGGAATAAGCCAAAACCGCCGTTAAATGCTGTGGATAATGCAACTCGGAGAAGATCCCTTGGGGAAGATTTCGGGCTTTTGGGCTTAGGTGTTCCAGGGGGGAAGGGGGAGGGGAGGGGGGGGGGGCGTTGGTGATAAGTTGTACTCAGTGAAGAAAGGAAAATATCGTGAATAAGGAAATGCATAAATTGCTAATCGAACGAAAAACATTAAAGAGGGAATGAGAATAAGAATGAGAATGAGAAAGAGATGGTGAGGGAGGAGGAGGAGACGAAGAATTAGAAGGACAAGTAAGAGGAGGAGGAGGAGAAGAAGAAGGAGGAGAAGGAGAGGAAGGGGACAGGAGGAGGTGGAAGAAGAGGAGGAGGAGAAGGAGAAGGAGGAAGAGGAGGAGGAGAAGGAGGAGGAGAAGAATAAGAATAAAACGAAAACTAAAACGGAAATGAGCACAGAAAAAATCGCCTCACCTCGTTGATTAGATCCTAAAGTGTCTATCATCCCTTCCATCAAATTCTAAATATGAGCCTGATATAGCAAAAAAAAAAAAAAGAAAGAAAGGAAAAAAAAAAACAGATGTGCCTTCCTTTAAACGTTTATCGATGAATATCATTCCCCGAAGCAATTAGACAACTGACACAATGAAGGACTCCTCATGCAAATAAGAGCTTTATGCTAATGTAGACAATGGCCCGCGTAGAATAATCCGCGATTGTGTATTTCGAATGCGAAGAGAGGAAGAGGGAGGCGCAGAACGAGATTGATGGCCCGGCGGATTTCGAGCCGACGGATGGGAGACGTCGAGAGAATACTTGATAAATGGATAATAAGGGTAGGGTGACGGGGGTGAATATGGGATAGGAATGTAGAAAGAGGGATAGAGAGGAAACAAAAAAGAATGTTTGGGAAAAAAGGAATTATAAGAGGGAAGGAAGAGAAAAACGTAGGGTTTAATTTGCAATAGAGTGAGTGGGTGAGAGAGAGAGAGAGGAGAGAGAGAGAGAGAGAGAGAGAGAGAGAGAGAGAGAGAGAGAGAGAGAGAGAGAGAGAGAGAGAGAGAGAGAGAGAGAGAGAGAGAGAGAGAGAGAGAGAGAGAGAGAGAGAGAGAGAGAGAGAGAGAGAGAGAGAGAGAGAGAGAGAGAGAGTAAAAACCGTGAAAACTTTCCAAATAAAAGGCTACCTCATATTTTCAAGAATCCCAGCGCCAATATTTAATGCTCCAGGCAACTCCTCTTGAGCGGGCCTGTGTCCGCCATAAGAGAAAAATATAAAGAAAGTTTAATATCAGATCCTTCCTCCCATACAAAATCTGACATTAGAACCAGAGTAGCATGAAATCCCTCTGAGTAATGGAGCCGCAGAGATAGGGTGAGAACAACTCCAGAAGGAAAGAAAATGTTGGATCCTTTTGAAAACACGCACTCTGTGTTTGGTGTTATGTACCACTGCTAGAAAGTCTGACCTTTAATAAGGCAGAGTAATTTTGTAATTATGTTTATGAATAGAAAAGGGAATCTAATTGAGATACCAGATAATGAGGGGAGGAAGGATATCAAATTGCCGAAGGAAATGTTATACTTGCTTTTGTGGTCCGTGTGTGTAAGAATGTAGGCGATGATTCTGCCATGTGTGTGTATACATAAATATGTCTTTGTTGATGCATTTATCCGTAAAGAGAGAGAAAAAAATAGACAATCATAGTATTTATTTGGTGATAACGATATTCGTCAATACCAGGATTTTTTCTTTTATAAAGGTTATTAGGATTGATTTCCTGCGCAGGGTGCTTCCTAGCCAGGGAATCGCCCCTCCCCCTCCCGATCCCTCACTCTGGGGACGCGAGGATCAGCAGCAGGTTGGGGAGGAAACAAAATCATCCAGAATAAGACAGCCATAAGGCGTAAAATCAACTTTCGCTTGCAATTAAGGACCACAGCCTTGCGCTGCGTGATCGCTGGCTTGGTGAGACTGTCTTTGCCTGTTGCAACTTTCCACCACATCAGACCTTGGTGACTCGTCTCGGCTGACCCAGTTTATTAGCATGCCTTTCTGCGCGTGTGTCTGTCTTCGTGTCAAGAAGATAGCGTGGACGTGGAGTTATGAGAGGGAGAGGAACACTTCTGCCTTTTATATGCTGTGCGATATGTTATGCCTGCTATATATATTTCTGCTGGTGTGGGTGGAAGCATGTATTTGTGAATGCCTTGTATTCTATGTGTATTGACGCGATTTGTATATATGCACATGTAGTTGACCTACATGTATAAGGGTGCGTAGCTGTAGATATGGATAAATTTGGGGATATAGTCATATTGCGTTGTATATAAGTCTGTGTTCATATGAAACATATAAGCAAAACAAAATAAAAAAAAAACAAAAAACAAAAAGAAAAACAGCAGTTTAGTTACTAAATGGAAAAATGGATAGAAACAAAAGCTAGAATATACAGTATGTACGTAACGGGCTTTACTTCTGGCTCTCTGAATTCAGCCACTTTTATGGTTGCCGCATGAATAATCAATAAAAATAACATATCACAATGCCTGCCACTCAAATATTTCATGCGTTTGCTTCTATCTCCTTTGAGCTGAAGGTCCCCGCGTGTACTGTCTTCCTCCGCATCAGGGTAAAGTTAGGTCCAAATTGTAACCTAATTCACGGCAAGTTAAGATCCTCATTGAGCGAAACGTCTCTCCTCGAGACAGTATAATTGTTCAAGTTCGACACTGATCGGAATTAGAACTGCCGAGAGCTCCTGGAGCGCCCTGGCTGCGTTCCGTCCCGGTGCTCGTTGTCTCTAACACTTAACCGCCGTCCCGCTTTCAAGGGCGCCAAAATTGCCTTCTAGATCGTGGTCTTGCTGGGAGCGGCCAGTGTTGTTGCAGTAGCAGGGCGAGCCTTATCTCTCTTCCCTTTGCAGGCGCGAGTGAATACCCCTCCCGGGCACGAGGTCGTCGTTGTATATCTGAATGACTGATGCCAAATGAGTGAAGCCGCGAGCTCCGCTATTCAGGCATTCGGTTCCTGCATGCATTAGCATACTCCCGATTTTCAAAGATATTCACAAAGCTTTGTGTTTATTCATCCTCAGTTTACTCAAGTATCACAAATCTAGCGGAGGATGAATTTTAACATACGAATGCTTACATATGCAATTTACATTTTTGCAATATTTATTAGTCACTCAGCACTGACGGGAGACTATGAATTATACATCAGAAAACGTGGTTTGACATTTAGTAAAACACTCACATTAGTGTGGGTTGCACACGGGCTATAATTAATGCTTTTGACTGGCATCACCTGGCCGCTCATAAATCTTGCCAAAATCACAAACAACAAAGGCTAGTAGTGTATTTTATATAATCGTGAAATCATTATCATCAAAAAGATAAATAAGAATAAAAATGACTTATCTGCGGATGAAGGGGTACGGAGAGGAGCCGAGCGGGCGCGAGGGCGAAGGCGCAGCAGGGAGGCGGCGAGGCGTTCCTTCGAAGTGCAATTAGCGTGGACTCGGCCTCGAAGCGCGACTGAACGGAGTCCTCGGGGACCTCCGCCTCTCGCCGGCCCGGAGGAAGGAGGCGAGGCGGGGAGGGAGGGGCGGGGAGGGCCTTCAGGGGAGGGGAGGGGACACAGGAGGGAAGCTTTTAACGTCTTATGGATTCAGTGTTATTGCAACTTTTTCTCATTTACCCCGACATGTCTTTATTTTCTTCTTCGACTTTCTCCTCTTCCTCTTCCTTTTCTTTTCCTTCACTTGTATGATGATTTCACTGACTCTCTCTCTCTCTCTCTCTCTCTCTCTCTCTCTCTCTCTCTCTCTCTCTCTCTCTCTCTTCTCTCTCTCTCTCTCTCTCTCTCTCTCTCTCTCTCTCTCCCCTCTCCTTCTCCTCTCTGTTTGTCTCTCTGTCTCTCTCTCTCTCTTTTCAACAACCAGAAAAAAAAGAAATAAGAAAGGAAGAAAGAAGGAGAACGTCCACACTCGCGCGCCTTGAATCCCCTTCCTTCCCTGCTCCGTCCATAAAAAAGCGCTCTGCCAGAAGGGGACAGAAAGCCGAACGGAGCCCCCCCTCCCCCTCCCCCCCCCCCCTTCCAAGCATCGCTCGCTGATGATTTCTCGCCGCCAGCCACACTCTGCCCACACACGAAAATATTTTGTACACACGCACAGGCACGTGCACGTAGAGATACATACACAGGGGCAGAAACATACACAAATGCATATATGCGGACGCAGAAGCGTACGCATATACACATGCGCTTATACATACGCATACCCATACATATAGGCTTATTCCTACACCTATATCTACACACACACGCACACACACAAACACACACACACACACACACACACACACACCACACACCACACACACACACACACACACACACGCACACACACACACACACACACCACACACACACACACACACACACACACACCACACACACACA